GTTAGCGATATGAGTGATACTAAGAGTAGGTGCGTTACTTAGCAATATGAGTGGTACTAAGAGTACGTGCATTACTTAGCGATATGAGTGGAACTAAGTGTAAGTGCGTTATTTAGCGATATGAGTTGTACTAACAGCAAATGCATTACTTAGCGATATGAGTGGTACTAAGAGTAAGTGCGTTACTTAGCGATATAAGTGGTACTAAGAGTAAGTGCGTTACTTAGCGATATGAGTGGTACTAAGAGTAAGTGCGTTACTTAGCGATATGAGTGGTACTAAGAGTAAGTGCGTTACTTAGCGATATGAGTGGAACTAAGTGTAAGTGCGTTATTTAGCGATATGAGTTGTACTAACAGCAAATGCATTACTTAGCGATATGAGTGGTGCTAAGAGTAAGTGCGTTACCTAGCAATATGAGTGGTACTAAGAGTAAGTGCGTTACTTAGCGATATGAGTGGTACTAAGAGTAAGTGCGTTACTTAGCGATATGAGTGGAACTAAGTGTAAGTGCGTTATTTAGCGATATGAGTTGTACTAACAGCAAATGCATTACTTAGCGATATGAGTGGTACTAAGAGTAAGTGCGTTGCTTAGCAATATGAGTGGTACTAAGAGTAAGTGCGTTACTTAGCGATATGAGTGATACTAAGAATAAGTGCGTTACTTAGCGATATGAATGGTACTAAGAGTAAGTGCATTACTTAGCGATATGAATGGTACTAAGAGTAAGTGCGTTATTTAAGGATATGAGTGGTACTAAGAATAAGTGCGTTACTAAGTGATATGAGTGGTACTAAGAGTGAGTGCGTTATTTTGCAATATGAATGGTACTAAAAATATGTGCATTATATAGCGATACGAGTGGTACTAAGAGTAAGTGCGTTACTTAGCGATATGAGTGGTACTAAGAGTAAGTGCATTACTTAGCGATATGAGTTTTGCTAAGAATAAGTGCGTTACTTAGCGATATGAGTGGTACTAAGAGTAAGTGCGTTACTTAGCGATATGAGTGGAACTAAGTGTAAGTGCGATATTTAGCGATATGAGTGGTACTAACAGCAAATGCATTACTTAGCGATATGAGTGGTACTAAGAATAAGTGCGTTACTTAGCAATATGAGTGGTACTAAGAGTAAGTGCTGTCAACGGGAGTATTGTGTGGCCCCGTCCTCGCTTGGGCGAAGCCAAATCAGTGGTCGGGTGCGCGGGGGATGCAGCCGACCTGCAGCAGTGGGCACGGGGGCCACTGCAAGGGCGTGGTGTTGGGAGATGCCCGGCTGGAGGGCGCCGAGGAGGTAGACGGCGTCCTTGGCGTCTGGACGGCGTCCTGGGCGTCTGCTCGGCGTCCTGGGCGCCTGGACGCCGTCCTGGGCGTCTGCTCGGCGTCCCGGGCGCCTGGGCACCAACTGGAGCCTCTGCTAGGCGTCTTGGGAGGTGGGACGCCGACCTGGAGGTCTGCTCGGCGTCCCGGGCTCCTGAACGCTGACTTGGGCGCTTGGACGGCGTCCTGGGCGAGTGGATGCCGTTCTGGACGCAAGGACGCCGACCCGGGGACGCCGGGCTTGGCGTAGCCGGCGTCCGACTGGGCTGGACGACCAGGCGGGGTTGCCCGGTCGACCGGGATACCCGGGCGACATGCGCGAGAGTCGCCGGGGTAGTTTCTGCGAGGATGACTTCGGGGGTGGTATCCGGAGGTCGACGTGGTTGATGGGCGCTGTCACGGGCGGGAATGTCTTCGCTGGGCACGTGACGGGACATTAGGCGCCAACCAGCCGCGCACACCTGCGAAGCAGGTGCACCGTTGTCCTGCGGGTGCAACGCTGTGCAGCCGACTTGCAGCAGCGTTGGCACACCGTGGTCATGCAACGTTGGCGCGCCGCATTTCTGCTGCGCTGGAGCGGTGCGAGCATTGCTGCGGTCGACCGTACTGCGCTAGAGGTCGACCAGCAGCTGTGCTAGCTCTGATGTAGTGATGCATGCCAATGTTGTTGCAATCATTCTGAACTTTCATTGTGATGTTTTTCCTAATGGAACTCTTGCCAATTCTCCCCGTGAACTAGCAAGCAGTGTGCGCACAAGGAAACGACTAAGGACCACCAAACGCAGAGATCACACGAGCACCCGTGCCTGGCCCGTAGTCTAGCTCCCGTTGCAGCAGTTATCTCCGCATGGTGCGGTGAGCGTGGACGACACCGCGACGTAGTTCAGTCTAGCCGACTTTGCACTTCCCGATTGTGTTCGTAGGCCGGCAGCTGGCTATGCATTAGTCACCATGGTAGGAGCCGTAGGTGACGCCGGGGTGGCGGACACCCTGGAGGCACGGCTGGTGAACGCGAGGAGAAAGCACGAGGCCAACGAGTATGGCGACCTGCCGTGGGCGGTCGTCGAGGCCGGGCTCCGCAGCATGTGGGCGTCGGAGCACCCTTCTCGACCTGCTTCTCCTCGACCGGTGAACACCGAGGGCGGCGTCGACGTGGGCGTCAATGCCAGTGGTGACCAGGTTGGCAGCAGTGCGGGAGGCACGTCTAGGCAGAGAGGTGTGATACACGCCGATGAAGTCGGCGGCGTTCAGGTGCGAGGGATGCAGTCGTCGGCGGCTGCAGGGACCTCGCAGGGCGGCGTCGGAGGCCGACGAAGCGGATTGGCGCCGATGTCGGCGACTCACGTGACTGCAGGAGGGATTGCGCTGAGCTATGGCTACTTCAAATTTACGCCGGACAGGATTCAGGTCACCCCCCTGCTGGTCGGTCGGCCGGACATCCTCACCTGGAAGGAGGCGATCGAGCCTCAACTGGAGATGGCCGGGCTGATCGGCTTCGCTCGCGGGACCGTGGCGACGCCGGAGGAGATCTACCCTGACTTGTGAGCAGAGTTTCGCGCCGTGCAGCTGCTGGCCTTCACGGTCATCTCGCGGTGCTGTTCGCCGGGCGTGCAGATCGCCATGAAATGGTGCAGGGGGTACCTCGACGCCGGACACCAGGTGTGGCACTTCATTGAGTCGACGTACCAGGTCACCGATGACCTGTACATCGGCCAGCTGGAGGAGCAGATGACGCACCTGCGGATGGGCGAGCAGGAGACGGCGGGCTACTGCAACCGGGCACGGTGACTTCTCGCCACCATGAGGATGGCCGGCGTGCAGTACTCCACGGCGTCGTATGTCACGCACGTCCTAAAGGGGCTCCCGAGCAGCTACAACCTGCTGAAGCGGCTGTCGGTGGCGCCGAGCACGCGGGCGACGCTCAACGAGGACTCGCTTACCTCGTACATCCTGCAGGACGAGGCGATGCAGGAGGCCGAGAAGTCCACGGAGCTCCTGCTGCAGGCAAACTACGCCGCCCCGGCGAAGCAAGGTAGCCGACCAGGGCAGCGCGGCAAGCCTGGCAGCGGTGGTAGCGGAGGTGGGAAGCCGGCCAAGGACGCCGACAAGGGTAAGTCGGCGAAAGAAGGCGGTCGTGGAGGAGGAATTCGGCGTCGGGAGTGTTGGATCTGCCACAGCCCCGACCACCTCTCCTTCGAGTGCCCCGACCGCAGCGAATCCGACGACGACGACGCCAAGGGTGGCCGCGGGAGGTCGGCCAGCCGTCGTCCACGTCGAGGCAACCAGCCGCGCAAGGAGTGTCAACGGGAGTTGTATGTTGGCCCCGTCCTCGCTTGGGCGGAGCCGACTTCGTGGTCGGGTGTAGGGTGCAGCCGACCTGCAGCAGTGGGCGAGTTGGTCGACGAGGTTGGTCGACCTGCACGGGGAGCCACTGCATGGGCGCCGACGTCGGGAGGGCGCCAACTTCGGCTGGTCGACCTGGGACGTCGACCAGCCCTTCTGGTCGACCTGGGACGTCGACCAACCCCTTCTGGTCGACCTGGGACGTCGACCAGACCTTCTGGTCGACCTGGTAAGTCGACCAGGCCTTCTGGTCGACCAGGAGTGACGTCGACTTGAAGCTGGTCGACCAGGGGATAGTGGTCGACCTGGGGAGGTCGACTGGAGGTGGCCGTCGACTTGGGAGGTCGACCGGCACGTACCAGAGGCAGTGGTCGACCTGGGAGGTCGACCGGAAGTGGTCGTCGACCAGGGAGGTCGACCTGAAGTGGTCGTCGACCCGGGTGGTCGACGGGCGCGCACTGGAGCCTCTGGTCGACCTGGTTGCCCGGTCGACCAGGTTACCTGGGTGACGAGGTGCTGCGAAGGCTTGCGATGGTCGCCCAGGTGGTTTGGCGAGGACGACCTCGGTGATGGTATCCCGAGGTCGACGTGGTGCATCAGAAGCAGTCGTCAGCACGAAGTTGATGTGGTGTGTGCGCTGTGCAGGTGACGGGGCACTGCACGCCAATCATCTGCGAGCACCTGCGAAGCGGGTGCGATGCTGTACTGCGGGAGCAACGCTGGCACGCCGTCGACTTGCGTTGTTGTCACGCCGTCGACTTGCAGCGTTGGCAAGCCGCGCCTCTGCACTGCTGGAGCGCGGCGTGCTGGCACGCGGTCGACCGTGCTGCGCTGGAAGTAGACTTGCTTGCATGCTAGCTCTGATGTAGTCCCACCTTGTCAACTTCTTTGTCTCATTTGTTGTCAACTTTCTCTAGCAAGCAGTGTGTGCACTAGGAAAACGACTAAGGACCAACGAACGCAGAGATCACACGAGCACCCGTGCCTAGCCCGTAGTCTAGCTCCCGTTACTAGAGTTATCTCCGCATGGTGCGGTGAGCGTGGACGGCACCCGACTTACCTTTCAGTCTAGTCGACTTAGTAGGCACCTTACCTAAGTTGTTCGTAAGCCGGCTGCTGTGCGGTAGTCACTATGGTAGGCGCCGTAGGTGACACGGGGGTGGTGGACACCCTGGAGGCACGGCTGGAAAACGCGAGGAGGAAGCACGAGGCCAACGAGTATGGCGACCTGCCGTGGGCGGTCGTCGAGGCTGGCATCCGTTCCTTGTGGGCGACGGAGCACCCTTCTCGGCCTGCGTCTCCTCGACCGGCGAACACCCAGGGCGGCGTCGACATGGGCGTCAACGCCGGTGGTGGCCAAGTCGGCAGCAGTGCGGGAGGCACGTCGTCGAGGCTGCGTGGTGTGATTCACGCCGATGAAGTCGGCGGCGTTCAGGCGCGAGGGATGCGGTCGACTGCGGCTGCAGGCACCTCGCAGGGCGATGTCGGAGGTCGACGAAGCGGGTTGATGCCGATGGCGGCGTCCCAGGTGACGGCGGGCGGAATTGCACCGAGCTACGGCTACTACAAGTTCACGCCGGACAGGATCTCGGTGACTCCCCCGCTGGTCGGTCGACCAGACATCCTCACCTGGAAGGAGGCCATCGAGCCCCAGCTGGAGATGGCCGGGCTGATCAGCTTCGCTCGAGGCACCGTGGAGACGCCGGACGACCCCGACTTGCGAGCTGAGTTCCGCGCCGTGCAGCTGTTGACCTTCACGGTCATCTCGCGGTGCTGCACGCCGGGCGTGCAGATCGCCCTGAAGTGGTGCAGGGAGTACCTCGACGCCGGCCACCAGGCATGGCACTTCATTGAGTCGACGTACCAGGTCACCGACGACCTGTTCATCGCCCAGCTGGAGGGGCAGCTGACGCACCTGCGCATGGGCGACGAGGAGACGGCGACCGACTACTGCAACCGGGCCCGGCGAATTCTCGCCACCATCAGGATGGCCGGTGCGGAGTATTCGACGGCGTCATACATCACCCATGTCATGCAGGGACTTCCGAGCAGCTACAACCTGCTGAAGCGGCTGTCGATGGCACCGAGCACGCGGGCGACGCTCAACGAGGACACGCTGACCTCGTACATCCTGCAGGACGAGGCGATGCAAGAGGCCGAGCGGTCCCAAGAGCTCCTGGCGCAGGTGAACTACGTCGCCCCGGTGAAGCAAGGCGGTCGACCGGGGCAGCGTGGACAGTCTGGTGGCGGTGGTAGCAGTGGCTGGAAGTCGGCCAAGGAGGTCGACAAGAAGAAGTCGACCAAGGACAGTGGTCGAGGAGGAGGAAGTCGACGTCGGGAGTGCTGGCTGTGCGGCGACCCCGACCATCTCTCCTTTGAGTGCCCCGACCGTATTGACTCCGACGCCGACGACGACAAGGGAGGCCGTGGGAGATCTGGCAGTCGTCGTCCACGTCGTGGAGGAAAGGAGAAGCCGCGCAAGGAGAAGCAGTCGACCACGTCGACCACGGCGAAGGACGCCGACTCCTCTGTGGCGGCAAGGCGCGGGACGACAAGACGGCGTCGTGCTCGCTGGTCGGCGTCGTGGAGCCGACCGTCTCGCTGGCGCCGGAGGCTGGCGAGGACTTCCAGGCGGTGGCGGCGGCTGTGCAGGCGAACCCGGCGGTGGTCCTGCTCGACAGTGGCTGCTCTCACCACCTGATGGGGACGAAGGACGCCTTCGTCGACTTGGAGCCGAGCGGCGACGTGAAGCACGTGCGTGGCTTCAATGGGGCGCTGCAGGACGTCCAGGGCCGCGGCACTGTCGCCCTGCAAGGCGAGGCCGGGAAGCAGGTGCTCATCCCCGACGTGTTGTACGTCCCGGGCGTGCATGCGAACCTGCTGTCGTCCGGCCAGCTGAAGGAGCATGGCGTGAAGCTGAAGGAGGATGGCGACGGGATGCTGCTCGTCTCGGCGACGGGAGAGGTGCTCGGTCGGGCGACGTACTCCGGGCGTATCCTCTGCACCGACCTGCGCCCCTGCTCTACGAGGCCAACGTCGACCACGCCGGAGGTTGTGGCCCTGCGGGCGATCGTCTCCAAGGCGAAGTCGACGCCGGACAGGATGCACGCTCGGCTTGCGCACGTCGGCATGGACACCATCCGGAGCTCGGCGAAGAACGAGGTCGCCATTGGGCTGGACCTCAAGTCGGCGACGGGCGCCGACTCACCGTGTGTCTCGTGCGTCAGCGGGAAGCTGGCGCGGCACACCTTCCCCGACCAAGGCTCCGACGCCGCCGACTTGCTAGCCGTCGTCCACATCGACTTGTGCGGGCCGTTCCGTGTGGCTGCCAAAGACGGCAGCTTGTACTTCCTGCTGCTGAAGGACCGCAAGACCCGCTTCGTGTGGGTGAGGCCGGTCGCCAAGAAGTCGGATGTGCTGCTGGAGTTCCAGAAGTGGCTGGTGCTGGTGGAGAGGCGGACAAAGAAGTCGATGCTGATGTTGCGCTCGGACCGGGGCGGGGAGTTCCTCGGGAAGCAGTTCACCGACTTCGTGGATGGAAAGGGGATCGTCCACGATCTGACCTGCCCGTACACTCCGCAGCAGAACGGCATGGCGGAGCGGGAGATGCGGACGGTGGTGGAGTCGGTGCGGACGATGCTGCTGCACATGGGCATGCAGCACCACTGGTGGCACCTCGCTCTGCGGCAGGCCGTCTGGATCCGCAACTGCCTGGAGCGGTCGGCGACGCCGGGGACGACGCTGTACCAGCTGCTGACCGGGACGAAGCCCGACCTGTCGCTGGCGCGAGTGTGGGGCTGCATGGCGCAATTCCTCGTCCCCGAGCAGCAGCGCGGTGGGAAGCTTAAGCCGAAGGCCAAGTGGGGCCTTCACCTCGGCGTGTCGGAGGCGAGCAAGGGCTGGGAGCTCCTCGACATTGCCGCCAACCGGGTGGTCACCACGTCGGACGTGGTGTTCTACGAGGACATGTCGTTGGAGGAGTGGAAGTCGGCGCACGGGCCTGTGTCAGGGCGAACATTGATGGCCACGCCGACGGATACCTCGACGGCAACTCTCCCTCTACTCGCCGAGGTCGGTGAGCCTGCTGAGGACGACGCCGAGGTCGTCCACCCTTCCTCCCCCTCTCCTGCCCCTCCCCTCGTCGCCGACCTGCGTGGGCTGACTCCGCCGTCGGCCTCCGGCGATGAGGGGAGCAGTGGAACGTCGCCTGTGGCGCCGACCAAGGGCATCGCCGGTGGCCGACGGGACGAGCAGCAAGTCGACGAGCAGCAGGTCGACATGGGAGTGCAGCCGACATGGATAGGGGAGGAGCAGGTCGAGGAGGTGCAGCCAGCAGCGCGGTCGACCAAGGAGCAGTCGGCGACCTGGCAGTCGGTAGGGGAGCTGACCGCAGGGGAGAAGTCGGTCGGGACGCCGACCGAAGTGCAGCAGGACGACGAGGACGGCAGTGAAGATGAAGGGGAGCAGTTGGGCGACGAGGAGCTGGTCGACCAGGAGGTGGTCGACCAGTCCACCGACCGTGACGTGGCGGGAGTTCCGCCTGAACCCCGGATGTCTGGTCGACTTCGGAGGCCGCCCGACTTCTTCGTCCCCGCTGCCTTCACCACGGTGTACGACGTGGAGGACGACGACGACCTGCTGTACGACGACGCTGATGAGGACGAAGAGTTTCCGGAGCTCGACCCCGACATGCTGGCCGACCCCGAGCACCGCTGGGACATCTCGACGATGTCGGTGAAGGAGGCGTTGGCGAGCTGGAAGGGTCCAGCGGTGAAGGCCGCCATGGAGGAGGAGATCCGCAGTCTCATCGCCATGGGGACGTGGGAGCTGGTCGAACGCCCGGACGACAAGACGGCGTCGTGCTCGCTGGTCGGCGTCGTGGAGCCGACCGTCTCGCTGGCGCCGGAGGCTGGCGAGGACTTCCAGGCGGTGGCGGCGGCTGTGCAGGCGAACCCGGCGGTGGTCCTGCTCGACAGTGGCTGCTCTCACCACCTGATGGGGACGAAGGACGCCTTCGTCGACTTGGAGCCGAGCGGCGACGTGAAGCACGTGCGTGGCTTCAATGGGGCGCTGCAGGACGTCCAGGGCCGCGGCACTGTCGCCCTGCAAGGCGAGGCCGGGAAGCAGGTGCTCATCCCCGACGTGTTGTACGTCCCGGGCGTGCATGCGAACCTGCTGTCGTCCGGCCAGCTGAAGGAGCATGGCGTGAAGCTGAAGGAGGATGGCGACGGGATGCTGCTCGTCTCGGCGACGGGAGAGGTGCTCGGTCGGGCGACGTACTCCGGGCGTATCCTCTGCACCGACTTGCGCCCCTGCTCTACGAGGCCGACGTCGACCACGCCGGAGGTTGTGGCCCTGCGGGCGATCGTCTCCAAGGCGAAGTCGACGCCGGACAGGATGCACGCTCGGCTTGCGCACGTCGGCATGGACACCATCCGGAGCTCGGCGAAGAACGAGGTCGCCATTGGGCTGGACCTCAAGTCGGCGACGGGCGCCGACTCACCGTGTGTCTCGTGCGTCAGCGGGAAGCTGGCGCGGCACACCTTCCCCGACCAAGGCTCTGACGCCGCCGACTTGCTAGCCGTCGTCCACATCGACTTGTGCGGGCCGTTCCGTGTGGCTGCCAAAGACGGCAGCTTGTACTTCCTGCTGCTGAAGGACCGCAAGACCCGCTTCGTGTGGGTGAGGCCGGTCGCCAAGAAGTCGGATGTGCTGCTGGAGTTCCAGAAGTGGCTGGTGCTGGTGGAGAGGCAGACGAAGAAGTCGGTGCTGATGTTGCGCTCGGACCGGGGCGGGGAGTTCCTCGGGAAGCAGTTCACCGACTTCGTGGATGGAAAGGGGATCGTCCACGATCTGACCTGCCCGTACACTCCGCAGCAGAACGGCATGGCGGAGCGGGAGATGCGGACGGTGGTGGAGTCGGTGCGGACGATGCTGCTGCACATGGGCATGCAGCACCACTGGTGGCACCTCGCTCTGCGGCAGGCCGTCTGGATCCGCAACTGCCTGGAGCGGTCGGCGACGCCGGGGACGACGCCGTACCAGCTGCTGACCGGGACGAAGCCCGACCTGTCGCTGGCGCGAGTGTGGGGCTGCATGGCGCAATTCCTCGTCCCCGAGCAGCAGCGCGGTGGGAAGCTGAAGCCGAAGGCCAAGTGGGGCCTTCACCTCGGCGTGTCGGAGGCGAGCAAGGGCTGGGAGCTCCTCGACATTGCCGCCAACCGGGTGGTCACCACGTCGGACGTGGTGTTCTACGAGGACATGTCGTTGGAGGAGTGGAAGTCGGCGCACGGGCCTGTGTCAGGGCGAACATTGATGGCCACGCCGACGGATACCTCGACGGCAACTCTCCCTCTACTCGCCGAGGTCGGTGAGCCTGCTGAGGACGACGCCGAGGTCGTCCACCCTTCCTCCCCCTCTCCTGCCCCTCCCCTCGTCGCCGACCTGCGTGGGCTGACTCCGCCGTCGGCCTCCGGCGATGAGGGGAGCAGTGGAACGTCGCCTGTGGCACCGACCAAGGGCATCGCCGGTGGCCAACGGGACGAGCAGCAAGTCGACGAGCAGCAGGTCGACATGGGAGTGCAGTCGACCGACATGGATAGGGGAGGAGCAGGTCGAGGAGGTGCAGCCAGCAGCGCGGTCGACCAAGGAGCAGTCGGCGACCTGGCAGTCGGTAGGGGAGCTGACCGCAGGGGAGAAGTCGGTCGGGACGCCGACCGAAGTGCAGCAGGACGACGAGGACGGCAGTGAAGATGAAGGGGAGCAGTTGGGCGACGAGGAGCTGGTCGACCAGGAGGTGGTCGACCAGTCCACCGACCGTGACGTGGCGGGGGTTCCGCCTGAACCCCGGAAGTCTGTGTTGGTGTAAGGGCCTAATAAACTCAAGCTATTAGGACTTAATCAAACTTAAAACCTCTCCTCGGGGTCACCTCCAAGGGTCCCTGGGTGCCTGGTACAAGACCAGCCCCTATCCTCGGGTCCGAGTTTGTAGAGAGAGGGATCAAGAAGGACTTAGTCAAAACAGCAAGAGTACCTTGAACGTCGCGCAGCGTGCCGTGCAGACCGTCGATCGGATTAAGCTGAGAATTCGCTATATCGAAGCTCGCTCCAAGAGCTTTAAAATGAGCCAAGTTGCCTCGCGAAAAGTTCTGCCATCACTAAGTTATGGCTCGGACAGCGTTTGCCTAGCGTTGGAGTGCTAGCATACTAGCGTTGACTCGGGTAGCATTCCGCCGTCGAATAGCGCAGAAACGAAACTCCAGCGAGGAAGGAATTCGCTTGAATCAATTTGACTATTCTCAGGTACAAACAGAGAAGGATTAAATAGTTCTAGCTAGCAAGGACCTTGGGAATCAACCTGGGAACAACCAGGGATGATCCCAAATAATTCCAAGCAACAGAACCAACCTGGCTGGACAAAATAGCAGGTGGTAGGTTGGTAAACAACCTCTGGTTCTGTTTTTCCAACCTGGGAAAACAACAACCAGGTTCAGGTTCTAAAAACAGAACCTGTTTTGTCTTTTCCCAACCAGCCAAATGCTGGTTCCGCTGGTTTCCCTTGGCCTTGTAGCATGCAGATACAGACAAACAACATCCAACCGAACAACAGAATCTGGGCTGAGCAATTCTATGTGGCCTCATGCTGTCCGGCACGCCACTGTCGCTAGGAACAGGGTGCTCACCAAGGTTGGGGATGACTCGTGGGTGCCGTTGGAGAGGTGGCTTGGGAGGAAGCCGCCGGTGGACATGCTGAGGGTGTTCGGTTGCATGGCAGTCGCCCACGTCCCCAAGACCTACCGCAGTAAGTTGGGGGCGAGTGCAATCTGGTGTGTGCATTTGGGGCTGGCTGCTGAGAGCAAGGGATGGCTGCTGTGGGAACCATCCAAGGGTGTGTTGTTTGACAGCAGGGATGTGAAATTCATTGAGGGCATGATGTATGGGAGCTGGGAGAAACAGCCGGAGGCAAGGGTGTCCCAGCAGATCACCATGCAGCTGGACCTGACTCCTAGTGTGTGGGAGGAGGGAGAGGAGGCAGCTGCTGGAAATGGTGATGGAGAGAAGATACAGGAGGCATCTGCTGGTGGAGAAAATGGTGTGGAAACTGGTGGCAGCACTAGTGGAGCTGCTGGACCCGAGGGAGGAGAGAAGCAGCAGGGAAAAACTAAGAAGCCGAAAGGTGTCGTTATGAAGGGATGGGAGACACCCGTCTCCAGGCCAGGACGTACCCGTATGGCTACTAAGAAGCTGACTGCAGGAACTGATGCAGCAGAGCAGCAGCTAGGGACCGAAGAGGCATTGCTGATTCTACCTCATGGCTATGACCCGGATGAGGAGGATGAGCCTGCGTACTGTTTTCTTGCCCCTACACCAGAGGAACCAGCTAGCATGGAGGAGGCATTAGCTGGACCAGATAGGGACAAGTGGCTGGCTTCTAGGGATGCTGAGTACCAGAGTCTGCTGGAGAATAGGACATGGGATCTGGTGGTGCTGCCTGATGGGAAGAAAGCGATACAATGCAAGTGGGTGCTGAGGATCAAGACCGATGACAAGGGGCAGGTCACCATCTACAAGAGTAGGCTGGTGGCGAAGGGGTTTATGCAGAAGGAGAAGCAGGACTTCAACGAGATCTTTGCTCCCACTGCCAAACCCCCTACCCTCCGTGTCTTGTTGGCAGATGCAGCTGTTAGTGGGAAATTCATCATTCAGATGGATATTTCAACGGCATTCCTGAATGGGATTTTAGAGGAGGATGTGTACATGACGCAGCCGCCTGGGTATGAGGATGGTACGGGCAGGATGTGCAAGCTCAACAAGTCCATCTACGGCTTGAAGCAGGCGCCACGCTGCTGGTACCAGAAGTTGGCAGCTGTTTTAGAGGAGATGGGATTCAGGACCAGCAGCTGTGATGAGAGCCTCTTTCTCAAGGGTGAGGGGGAGAAGCTGGTGCTGTTTCTGGTCTATGTGGACGACATTCTTCTCTTCAGCAGCAGCATGAAGGAGATCCAGAAAGTGCAGCAGCAACTGATGGAAAACTTCAAGTGCAAGAACCTTGGGGAGGTAAAGTACTACCTCGGGATGCACGTGGAGAGGGATCCAGATCACAGGTGGTTGAAGCTGCATCAGGAGAAGTTCATCAAGGAGCTGGGGGAGAAGTATGGGATTGAGAATGAGCGCAAGGTTGCAACTCCCCTGCCAGCAGAATTCAAGCTTGTGAAGGCTGCAGAGGATGAAGGGGTTGAAGCTGAAGAGCAGCAGCAATTTCAGTCCTTGGTGGGCAGCCTCTTGTACGCAGCAGTTCACACGAGGCCCGACATCTCTTTCTCGGTTGGGCAGCTGGCTAGGGTGGTGCAGAATCCATCAGAGGAGCAGGTGGATGCAGCTGAGCGTGTGGTGAAGTACCTGAACTCTCACCCAAGCATTAGAGTTCAATACTCCGCATCTGCACAGGTGAAGCAGAAAGAGGTGGAGGTGCTGAAAGAGAAGGGGGAGAGGCTTGGAGAAGGCAAGCTATTTCTCACTTGCTTTACCGATGCTACGTGGGCTTCTAAGAAGGAGGATTCCTCATCTGTGGGAGGATACATCTGCGTAGTTGGGGGAGGACCTGTTAGTTGGAGGTCCAAGAAGCAGACGGAGACGGCACTCTCTTCCGTAGAATCAGAGTACATGGCGATGTTCCATGGGGTGAAGGAGGTGATTTGGCTGAGGAGGCTGTTAGAGGAGATTGGCCAGGAGCAGAAAGTTGCTACGCCGCTGTTTTGTGATAGCAAGGGGGCTCTTGGGATGGCCAGGAACGCTGTGCTTCATGGCCTGAACAAGCACATGCGTATCAAGTGGCACTGGCTGCGTAAGGAGGTGAAGAGGGGGACGGTGAATCCAATCTACATCAAGACTCACCAGCAGCCAGCAGACTTTCTCACCAAGAGGCTTGCGGATGAGCCTCATTGGCGTTGTGTGCGCATGAGTGGAATGAGCATGAACTAGCATGGAATGATGGGGATGCAGCCGGCAGGCTGAGGGGGAGTGTGTTGGGTGCAAATTTACATTGCACGACATCCTGCCGTCTGTTTGTACGAGTATGCGTGTGCGAATGCATTTGGGTGTGAATGGAATGTTCGTGTGTTTGTTTGCTTTCGCAATTTTCGCTTGATGCATTTGCAGGTACTCGCGCAATGTGCGCTTCGGCACAACATTGTACGCGCTATGAACAGTGCAAGCAGAAAGGACGAGCTCGCAAAGGAACCCAAGATGGAAGCTTTGCAGTTCGGTTGAGTTGATTGCGCAGATTCAGTTCTATCCAACTCGAAATTGTACTGTTTTGTTTGGTTAACTATAGTGTAGCAGGGAAGGCACTATAGGGGTACAATTTAGGTGAAGGTTGGATGTTGTTTGTCTGTATCTGCATGCTACAAGGCCAGGGGAAACCAGCGGAACCAGCATTTGGCTGGTTGGGCAAAGACAAAACAGGTTCTGTTTTTAGAACCTGAACCTGGTTGTTGTTTTCCCAGGTTGGAAAAACAGAACCAGAGGTTGTTTACCAACCTACCACCTGCTATATTGTCCAGCCAGGTTGGTTCTGTTGCTTGGAATTATTTGGGATCATCCCTGGTTGTTCGTAGGTTGATTCCCAAGGTCCTTGCTAGCTAGAACTATTTAATCCTTCTCTGTTTGTACCTGAATATAGTAAAAATTGATTCAAGCGAATTCCTTCCTCGCTGGAATTTTGTTTCTACGCTATTCGACGGCGGAATGCTACCCGAGTCAACGCTAGTATGCTAGCACTCCAACGCTAGGCAAACGCTGTCCGAGCCATAACTTCGTAATGGCAGAACTTTTCGCGAGGCAACTTGGCTCATTTTAAAGCTCTTGGAGCGAGCTTCGATATAGCGAATTCTCAGCTTAATCCGATCGACGGTCTGCATGGCACGCTGCGCGACGTTCAAGGTACTCTTGCTGTTTTGACTAAGTCCTTCTTGATCCCTCTCTCTACAAACTCGGACCCGAGGATAGGGGCTGGTCTTGTACCAGGCACCCAGGGACCCTTGGAGGTGACCCCGAGGAGAGGTTTTAAGTTTGATTAAGTCCTAATAGCTTGAGTTTATTAGGCCCTTACACCAACAACCTTCACCTAAATTGTACCCCTATAGTGCCTTCCCTGCTACACTATAGTTAACCAAACAAAACAGTACAATTTCGAGTTGGATAGAACTGAATCTGTGCAATCAACTCAACCGAACTGCAAAGCTTCCATCTTGGGTTCCTTTGCGAGCTCGTCCTTTCTGCTTGCACTGTTCATAGCGCATACAATGTTGTGCCGAAGCGCACATTGCGCGAGTACCTGCAAATGCATCAAGCGAAAAATGTGAAAGCAAACAAACACACGAACACACCATTCACACGCAAATGCATTCGCACACGCATACTCGTACAAACAGACGGCAGGATGTCGTGCAATGTGCATTTGCACCCAACACACTCCCCCTCAGCCTGCCAGCTGCATCCCCGTCATTCCATGCTAGTTCATGCTCATTCCACTCATGCGCACACAACGCCAATGAGGCTCATCCGCAAGCCTCTTGGTGAGAAAGTCTGCTGGCTGCTGGTGAGTCTTGATGTAGATCGGATGCACCGTCCCCCTCTTCACCTCCTTACGCAGCCAGTGCCACTTGATACGCATGTGCTTGTTCAGCCCATGAAGCACAGCGTTTCTGGCCATCCCAAGAGCCCCCTTGCTATCACAAAACAGCGGCGTA